ACACACACACACACACACACACAAGTGAAGGTGGCTGGGGAAACCTGAGTGAGCTCTGTGGATGGTACCATGTCAATTTTCTGACATGGGAAATGTGACCACTGGGGACAACTGGTGAAAGGTACATGTGGCCTCCCTATTCACTCTTCAACCTCCTGTGACTCTGTAAGGATGGGCAGATGGCAGGCCCAAGCCTTCAGCCCAGACAGCCAGGATGCCCTTTGTGAACTCAGCGCCTCTCTGCATTGATAAAAACGAGAGGAGAAACTGAGGCCTGTGAGGGGCTTACAGGAGTTATGAATGGGGCTTCAGGACTGGCAGGGAATGCCGTCCCTCTCTGGTGGGGGAGATACGGGCATGGGGTGTGTAACACGGGCATTGAGCAGGAATCTGGGGCCACTGTGTTCAGAGTAAAGTCTGGGGTGGGTGGCACCTGAAAGGAGCCTACAGCTTGCAGGAGTCAGTGATGAGGACCCCATCAGTGCTGGGCCTGGAAGAGGGCAGTCACCACTCAAGGCAATGAACTCAGGGGTAAGGAGGTCTGAGGGAAGATGGACCTTGGGGAGGGCTTGGGGGGCACAAGGCCTAGAGATGCTGGCCCTCAGAGGCACAGGGCAGTGTCCTCAGGGCCCCAAGCCAGCTCCCTCCAGATCCAGAGCCAATGGTGGGGGCTGGGAGGGGAATGTGCCTGGGACACTGGCTGTGCACGCCAGGCGAAAGGGCAGGGGCTGCTTGTTGGGCAGAGTTTAATGGGCTTTGCCATCGCGCCCTGACAGCCTGCCTTCAGATGTGGTCCCCATACTCCCCATAACCAGGGTCCCAAGCCCCAGGGACGCAGAGAAGAGAGCTGGGTCTGACCCTAGGGCACAGCCTTCTCCACCCACCCCTGCCTCAGGGCTCAGGCAGGGCGCTGCCGCTGGCTCACCCTGCAGGACCAGGCCTGGGGTCCCCAGGCCTGAGAAGTGGGTACCTCTGTTCTGTCCACATCAGGCGCTCTGAAGTCCCGTGGGGAAAGAGGGGCTGTCACACAGTGTTCCTGGGCCGGGAACCCAATCCCACCTCCACATCCTGGCAGCCCAGCGTCTGTATAGTCTCCGGGACTTCCTGTCCCACCTGCGAGGCTGGACACGGCCAGGGTTGGACCACGATGGCCTACAGACCCCGTGGTGCCCGCTGTGTGACTGAGGGAGAACACTGCCTCTCTGGGCTGCAGTTTCCCGGCAGTTTTTCCAAATGCGGGGACCAGGGGTTGGGGGCCGCGCAAGACAGAAGGTGAGCCCCCACCGCATGTCTGTCTGTCTTGGGGCGGGGGGTGTGAATCAGCTTCCGGCCCCGCCCTCGGGGCCGCACGTGACTGCAGGTGGCGACGGTGGGGTAGGCGTGGCGGCCCTTAGTCACCGGCCCGCCTCCGCCCAGCCTCGGGCTGCCGCCACCAGTGCTCCGCGTTGCGCCCGCGCCCGTCACCCGGTAAGCGAGTCCCGGATGCGCCCCCCATGGGTCCCCGTCCCCGCGGGCTGCCGTCTGTGCGCTTCGAGCTCTCGGACCCTCGCGGCCCGGGCCTCCTCCGGGCAGGCCTCGGGGGTTGCCGGGGCTCGGGGACTTCGAGACCCCTCCCTTCCCGGAAGCCCTGGGATGCGGCGCGCCGCTGCTTCCCGCCGAGGTGCGCAAACTTCGGGGAAGTTTCCCTGCCCGTCCTGGCTGCCCTCCGAAGTTGCCCGAGGCTCCAGACTGCCCGAGAAATCTGGGATGTGGGTCCCCGGTCCCCTAAAGACACCGGGGTCGGGATGCGGCCCTTGGCCGCCGGCCACGCCCCCTGCACACTGGCCACGCCCACTCCCTTGCGCCCCCCCCCTCCCCCGCCCGGCCCCACCCCGTCGTCCCTCCCCGCTCCGCTCTCTGACCTGGCCCGCGCTCTTCAGTTCTTTCCCACAGGTCTCCGATGGGCGGAGGAGCCGAGGCCGCCCGGAGGTCCTAGAGCGCGCGGTGCCCCGCCGGGCCGGAGCAGTGTCACAGCCACCCAGCAGAGCGCGCGGGCAGGGCCACCATGGCCTTCTCCCAGGTGCAGTGTCTGGACGACAACCATGTGAACTGGCGCTCCAGCGAGTCCAAGCCCGAGTTCTTCTACAGCGAGGAGCAGCGGCTGGCGCTGGAGGCCTTGGTGGCCCGCGGCCGCGAGGCTTTCTACGAGGTGCTCAAGCGGGAGAACATCCGAGACTTCCTCTCCGAACTGGAACTCAGGCGCATCTTGGAGGCCATCGAGGTGTACGACCCCGGCTCCGAGGACCCTCGTGGTCCCCGCCGCTCCCAGGAGTCCCAGGACAACGGGCTGGGCGACAGCGAGGAAGCCAGCAGAGTGGGAGGGACCGAGCCCGAGACCGAGCCGCTGCCCTCGCTGGAGTACTGGCCCCAGAAGTCCGACCGCTCCATCCCGCAGTTGGACCTAGGCTGGCCTGACACCATCGCCTATCGCGGGGTGACGCGGGCCAGCGTCTACATGCAGCCCCCCATCGACGGGCAGGCCCACATCAAAGAGGTGGTACGCAAGATGATCAGCCAGGCCCAGAAGGTGAGGGACCTCTGGGTGGGGTGTACCTGCAGAGGCGGCTGAACCTCTGACCACAACATGGGGACCTCAAAACTGTCCCCTGTGAGACTCTGCTGCTTTCCTAGTTGCCTCCCCACCTTCACGGGTTTCCTCAGTGGCTTTGCAGAGGAATAGGGTCTCTGTGCATGGGTAGGAGTGTTTCTGGTTTCCTCAGGCCTGGTGAGCAGCCCCCCCCCCCCCCAGAATGCACTGCCATGGGGTGGGTGGGAAGGAATGCAGGGCTTCCTCTCCCCTATTCTCCATTCCGATGGCTCAGATTCATTGCGGAGAGGAGAGTCGGAAGGCTCTCACTCATACCGTGAGCTCTCTGGTGGGCAGAGTATCGTTGACAATTGCAGAGATAGGCATGGAAATTGAGAAGCCCGCTATTCCCTCTGAAGCGGGCCTGGAGATCTGAGTTCAAATCTGCGTGTTTCCTAGCTGTGCTGAGCTACAGAGAGTGAGTTGCTCACCCCCTCCCAGCTGTTTTATGAGCTTTGCAGAGGCAGAACCTGGATGGGGGCGGGGCTGTGCTGTGGGTCTCAGCAGTGGGATTAGGAGAGTTCCCAAGCCTTGCCTGGACCTCCCTTTCCTGACCCCTGCTGGGCTGATCGAGTAGTGCCCTGGCCATATGGCTGCTGTCTGCTGACACACTGACACACATTCTGAGAAGCAGGGCTTGTGGCATGTGGAGACAGCCAGACCATCACTGAACAGTGGTGACTAGGAGCAGGTGATTCTTTTCATGGTCTCCTCAAATGTCCTGATAAGCTTGATGAGGTGTGCCTTGCAGGGGGTGTTGCAGAGGGCTCTGGAGCAAGTCAGGCCTCTAGCTGAGGAAGTAGGATGGCTAGATGGGGGCTGTCGCTGCTCAGGGAGCAGGACCACTCACTGCACAAGGCTGGATGCTGGCTTTGGAGACCATCCTGGTTGTTGGGGCCAGGGAGAGCTCTTGCTCAGAGACCAGAAGTGTGTCAGGAACTGAGGAGGTGGCCTGGCTCAGGTTTTTAGGAAGGTGGAGTTCCTGCCCCATAGGGGCTGGTTGGCTGTAAAATGAGGACCAAAGGCGTCTCTGGCTATTGTGAAGGTGGCGTATCGGGTGACAGGAGTGAGGAAGGAGCTGGGGGAAGCGGGTGGGGGAGGAGGAAGAATTTTCATAGTTTTCAGGCTGAATAACCATCTCACACCTACTCAGGATTGGGAAGTAGCTAATACCCATGCCTTGTGAAGATGGCTGCGGCTGGTGGCAGAACTCAGTATCCTGAGAGGGCCTGCTAGGATCCCATTACCCAGCCTCCACCCCATTTTTAAAATGGGGAAACTGAGGCCCAGGGTGGGGGGGTTTGACCTGCAGTGTTAGAGCTCCCACAATAGAAAGACACAGGTGCCACTTACCAGCTTGGCGTGGGAACAGCCTGGGTTCTAATCTCCAGCAGACAGAATGACAGACATCCTGGCCATCGATGGGACCAGATAGGGATGCCCTGGGCCAGGGTGGGCATTCAGAGTCCCCACTTCCTCCTCTGGTCTGTCACCACAGCTGAGACTCAGACACTCCAGGCAGTCATGGAGTGGACCCTTTAGCTTCATTCGTATCCCATGAAAGCCCCATGTGCTTTTGTGTCGCCCGGCTAAGGTGACAGCTGGGGAGATGCTGAGTCTTCTTCTGTCTGTGTGGCACTGTAGGGGGTGACTTCCTGCAGCCCTGGACAGGTAGGCTTTACCCTCTGCTTTCATACCCCTCAAGCCTGCCTCCCAGTCAGCTGGGAGTCCTTTAGGGTCCAAGAGGAGGGGCCTCAGGCAGTGCAGCCCATGCCCCCATTTCACCAACGGGACACTAAGGCATGCAGGTCAGGGATTTGTTCAGAACCCATAGTGCTGTCTTGTGCCAAGCTCCTGCTCTCTGGCCCTGCTCTCTTTGAGTCTCTGCTCGTGGTCCTGACACGTGGCCCGTGGGGGCGGGCAGTAATAGTGGCTGCTGTTGATCTCAGGTAGTGTTATCTGCCTCATTTCTCGCGTGTAGAAACTAAGGCCAAACTGGTTAGTCCCTGCCTAAGGTCACCTAGCTAGTTCTTGTGACATGTAGTCACACTCAAACTCTAGAACCTCCCCTTGTGTTCCCCCACCCCTCAGTAGCAGGACAGTGGCAGGCTGGGCCTGGGAGAGGCCACTGATCTCAAGACCTGCAATCCTCCATCTCCCCTCCCAGCCACATCCCAGGCTGGCAGGGGCAGGGCCAGGACGCTGTGAGGTGCTGACGGGGAACTTTGCCCGCCTTCACCTTCTGCCTGCCTCCCAGGAGCTCTTCCTCACTCTTCTTCCTTATCTCTCCCCGTGAGTCATCTTTATCCCTCCCCTGACACACACTCTGTAAGAAGCAGGAGGTCCCCTGGGTCTGTAGTGGGGATTTTGCTGTCTGACCCCCTTTCCACAGGGCTTCTGGGCTGTGGTTGCTGGTGCTGAGTCAGGGCGGCCCAGTCTGCATCTCGCACTCACCCTGCCCTGTTGTCAGCACAGCTGGCAGACCCTGGGGCAGGGAAGTGACACAGCACACACTCAGCCTACACCAGCTCCACCACACCACTGGGGAGAGGCTGTGTTTCTGGCAGGTCCACCTGCTTGATCCCCCTTCCCAGAAGACTAGGAAGGTAACTAGGGGGCAACAGTGTGGTAACAGGAGCCAAGAGTGTGGGTCTGGCTGTGGGACTGAGACTGGCCCCAGCTCCTCCCCAGCCCCACCATCCCTTATGTAAAATGGGTACAGGCAATGAAGGTTATGGGGGTCCCTTGGTCTCTGACACCTGCTGCCCTTGGATTCTAGACTTATCTAGGACAGGGGACAGTGGGTTCTGCCTAATACCTGTCCTAGCTGTGTGGCCTGAGTCGGCAGCCTGCGCTCTCTGAGCTGCCCTCCAGCCTCAATGGCTTTACTCCAAGGCAGAGGTCACCTGCCCACCCTTCCCCCAGCCCCCAGGAGCCAGTGATTTATCTGGGGAAAAACCTGCTGTGAGGTTCCAGCCACATACCAGAGGCTGGGCCTGTAGAATCACGCCTGGGAGGGACAAGCTGCAGCCTCCCAGAGGGGTGAGGCTGGGCTGGGTGGATGGCCTCAGCCAGAAGCTGGGATGGGTGTTCTAGCAAGACTTCCAGCACATGCCTAACTCCCATCCCGGTGACATGGGACAGAGCCCCTGGCAGGATCCCTTCCCCAACCTAGACACCCCTGGGAAGGCCAGGGGTAGGGGCCAATCAGGCCTTCTCCATTTTACCATGGAGGAAGCAGAGGGAGGCTGAGGTGCCAATGGTGAGCTCCTGACTAGAACCCAGATCTCTGTCCACTGGGTCAGCCATGGGGACTGAGAGAAGTTAAGTTTCTTGCCCAAACCCACACAGCAGGAAGGAAATCGAGCCCAAGTTTCATGATGCCCGATTGACCTCTCATGCTTTCTGTCAGGACTCCGCCTTCGCACGCTGCAGTCCTGGCCTACAGCTTGGCTCCAGGAGAATAAACGCAACTTAATGAGGCATTTATTAAATGTCAGCTATGTGGTAGGCGCTGAGCCGGCTCTTTACCTACACTGTGTAATCCTTGCCACGACTCCATAAACTAGGTGTTGCCTTCATTCTCACAGGAGGAAACCAAGGCTTGGAGGAGCTCAGAGAAAGCAGATAACTTGCCCAAGGCCACAGAGCCTACAACTGGAAGAGGGGGCCCAGAAGCCAAGTGTGCAGATGCCGGGCAGCCCTACTAAGTTTGCAGGCTCTTCCTTCTGAGCCCTGCCCCTGGGTGGATGCAGTGGGCTTCACTCCCCACCCCCGCTTGACTCAGAACAGTAAACTCGTGTTCACAGGCTCCTTGGCACTTGAACACAGGACTCCTGGTCACAGGGGAATGGAAACCCAGAAAAGTTAAGTTTCTTGCCTAAGGCCACACAGTAAGAAGGAATCGAGCCCAGATCAGAGCCTAATGACCCTGGGACTGGTGATGGGAACCTGTGCCTGGCCTCTTCCTGAGGACCAGGAGGGAGGGCTCCTATCACATCTGAATCTAGGAGCACAGTCGTGCACTGCATACTGATGTTAGGACAGTGACAACCCGCGTATCCGACAGGTTGTGGTTGCTTCGTGATTCCCAGCTTCTTACTTTGTGTGGCACTCTATGATGGCCACACAACGACATCTCCTAACAGTGCAGTTCTCAAATAACCCCTTCATTAAGCTTCATGCAACTGGGCTAGGAGAGCGCTTTGACACTGAGAGCCACCCCTGGGTTGACATGGCTTGGCTGGAACCCCAGGCAGGCAGCAGTGGCCTAGGCTTCCTCGGCAGGCAGGGGAGCAGCTTCCTGCTTGCTGTGGCAGCTCCTGGCCCAGGGCCGTACCTATCCGGGTGGGGAAGTATCTGATACCATAATTCTGGGTGTTGGCTGCCATCTTCTCCGAAGGTTCCTTCCCCACGGCGCTTACGTCTTAATTGAGAGTTGTTGAGAGTGAGAGCGGCCCTGCCAGGAAGAAGGCCTGCTCACATCACTGATGAGACAGAGGTTCGAGTGGGCCAGAACCTGCCAGAGCTCACATAAGGGTCTTTAATGTGCCTGGGCCTGGACTGGGCTCCATGGAGCTCCTTGTCTCCCTGGTTTGGAAGGCTACCCTGAAGTTGAGGGACCCACTCCCATGCTGCTCAGTTCTGGGCCTCAGTTTCCTTATCTGTAGAGTGGGGATTGGTTACTAGTACAGAAGAAGTGACCTGGAAGTACTGAGAGCTCTGAGGATATGCAGGCAGGGGTAGCAGCCAAGGAGGGAGGTGGGGTCTTACCATGTGTCCATGCCGGCCCTGGCTGGGCAGGCTGCCCCAGCCTCCTTTCCTGGAGTCTAAATGACCCCTGGATTCCAGCATCTTCTCAGGTTAAGTGACATGTGGATGGTGAGAAGATGGGCTTTAGTGTCATGCAAATCCACGCCCAAGCCCAGCCCAGGTCTTGT